TAAATGAACAATTTATCTTCAGAGACGTTTGGATTTCATCCTTTGCGTTCTCTTTGTTTCACCTTCCTTGCTGGAGGTGTGTCATGCGGCTATAAATCTGAGTTCATCTCATGGCTCATGGCTCACATATGTTGTATTCAGAACCAAACCCCAGTCCCAAACAAACCCGCACGCTCCCCTGACTCACTAGTGGGGTCCGTCACTTCCGGATTGGGACTAGTACATATGCCACCTGTTCCGCATTCCCCTCTTTGCCCAAACTCGCCCCCCAACACCGGAAAATGCTGTTCCACCCACGCAAACCTACATATTATCAAAACAAAACGCAAATCGCAATAAATAAATCACCTGGTGGAGTGGCCGAGTGGTTATGGCGCTGTGTTTAGGTAATCATCATGATACCGTAAATCCGCAGTGGGAAACCGCGCGAGTTCGAATCTCGTCTCCATCATCTCAACCTTTTGACTTTTTGCATCAGGGCTCGGGTTATGTGCTGTGTCCAGTTGCTTCATGAGTGGAACAGGCTTTTTGGGCACTGTTCAAACCAATGAAGAAAGTGTTTCCAGTGTCAATGAGTCAGTGTTGCTGTACAGTCATGTAATGCAGTTGCGAGATACTCGACTCGGCATGTCATATACATAGCCGCCAGTTTTTCAATGTTGATGCAGCAAACGCGCAGTTCAGTCTCAGTCGATTTGCGAAGTGCGACATTTGTTTCCCCTTTGAAGAAAAGCGTTGAGGGCCAATGTCAACTCCACATGCGCGCCTGAGTCGGTCATATAGAGGTAAACATTTGACATATGCACTGGTATCAACAACGACTTTCAAACATCTCGCCGGCATCTTCCAAAACAGGGTAAATCGAACCAACGTCACAAGCTGCAGAGAAGGCCATGCAAAATGGTGGTTGAGTCATGTTCGTCACCTTGAGAATCTCGACGTGGCTGGATTGAAGGTGCTTCGTGGTCCGCAGCCGACACTTTCGGTCTCGGCACGGCAAACGGTGTAACTCCAATTGGCCAAAGCTTGCAAGCTCCTTTCTTCACAACCTTGCCCGATTTTTATTTATTTCTTATTTTTGGAGGGGCCATATCGACCAGACTCACACCGCGCCATCCACTTTATCGACTTGGCTCCTCCACCTCCCAACCCGGCGAGCAGACCGAAATACCACCAGACACGAACCAAAGCTAGGCAAATTTCCTATCGATCCTCCGACTATTATAAATATAGGAAACAAGCACAACCCCCCCCCCCCCCCCCCCCCCCCCCGAACCAACTGCCAACGAACGTCGGTATGCCGCTCGACGACGACGACAACCCCACGGCGGCGCCTGCCGCCCAGCTCCAAAACGACTCGGGCGCAGGCGACGAGGCCGAGGACGAAGGGCTCTTCGACATGCGCCTCTTCGCCTCCATGTTCAACAAGAAGGGCGTCGCGAGCCAGGCGGTGCGCAGGGGCCAGAAGGACTTTGAGTCCCACGGCACGCGCGCGCAGGAGGACGCCCTCGAGACGAGCAGACGGGTCATCGAGGAGGTGCTCGCGTACTCGCGCGTGCACCGCGACGCCTGGAGCAAGGGGTGGTACTTCCCCGACTACTGGGCCGAGACGCTGCGGGCCATCGAGGAGGACGGGGACGCGTCCGGGCTCGCGAGGCCCGAGTACCTGCGGGAGTTCCTGGCCGAGACGGGGCCGATATATGCAAAGGAGCGGGTGGTCGTCGTCGAGGACCTCAAGGGCTCGCAGGCCAAGTCGATGGGCCGGGTCATACGGGGGCTCAAGGCGCCGAGGCCGGCGGTCGGGAAGCTGTGGCTGCTGCCCGAGGAGGCGCTGTTCCTCGTCGAGAGGGGCAGCCTGGACCTCTGGTGGCCGTTCCGGGAGCTCAAAGACGTCTTGCCGCCGCCGTCAGAGGGCAAGGCCGCGGAGGAACACGTGCACGATCCAGAGCAGACGGAGGCGGACCCCGGCGAGGACTCGGACGACGAATTCGAAACGGGCGTGCCGCTGAGCTTGCAGGCCGCATACGCCTTCTTCATCGGTCTGGACGGCGAGCGGGGGAAGATCACGCTTCCGAAATATCAAGTCTACGCTCACCTGCGGCGGCTGGGATACTACGTCCAGCGCGCACCGCCCGACGCAGCCGACGCCGCGCCTGAACCACAAACCGCAGGGAAGTCGTTATGGCAGTGGCTCGTCTCCCTCCTGGACAGGCCCGCGCCGACGCCACCGCCCTACGGGCCCCTCGTCAGGCCGGGCCTCTACCGCCAGTACACCCACGTCTACAAGCAGCTGGAGCTCCTCGCGAGGTACAGGCCCTCGCCGGCGGCGCAGGAGCCCGCGGCGCCCGAGGACCCGTACAAGGTCCACTGGCACGTGTGGAAGCCGTCGAAGCACCCGAAGCTGCGCGTGACGGACCTCCCGCCGCCGGACATCCGCATCGCCGTGGCCGACGCGCGCGACGACGCGGTGCCGTCACTGGAGGAGGTGGCGGCCCTGCTGGACTCGACGCCGTACGACCCGCCCGACCCCAAGACGACGGGCGGGCCGGGGCGGCTGTACCAGAGGCTCCGGCACGGGCACCGCAACGTGCTGATCGCGGTCGTGGACCGCGGGCTGGTGAACTTTATGAGGTTCGGGCAGGCGGCGTTCGGCGAGGAGACGCTGTACGAGAGGTTCGACAACCGGGGCGGGATCCGCGGGGGTAAGAGGGGCGGCAGGGGCGGACGGGGGAGAGGGGGCGGCGGAAGGGGGAGGGGGCGTGGCCGGTGAGGCGAGCGGACTGAATGAAGTCCGGGAACCCCCGGAACGGTCGGGGGGCTTGTGCGGTGCAAGAGCGGACGGCGTTCACGGGATGCCCAAAAGGAACATGTATAGAATCATAAAACACAACTAGAGAGCTTCGCGGCTCCCGGCAGGGGTATTAGGGTCGGCTTGGTTGGTAGGCATGGATCTCCGCTGTCGAGTGCAGTGCGCACAGCATCCGAAGAAAAGGATATTAAAAAGAAACGAGCATACTGCCAATCATGTGCCCAAGAGCAGTTTCAAGCCGGGAGTCTTCTTGGGTCCGTGAGGCCGACTTTGCCGACTCTCCGAGTTGAGGGCTATGGATGGCATGCTGCCTGGCGCTACCTGGTCGTTCCAGGTCTCCGAGTCTTATATATCTAGCCTTTTGGTGTGTGTTTAAATGTGCGCGTCTATGTCAGACGGCCGGGCTTATAGTGTAGGTTAGTTGAAGACTAAGTGCAAAGTCAAAGATGTCTCCGGGCTCTCGCTGCACGATCCGTTACAACACTTACTCGCCGACCAACTCTACCACGTTAGACACCCACAACTAAAACAAAGTAAGCCCGCGAAAAGGGCCCGGTGTCGTCTGAATAGGCTCTCTAGACTTGGTAGTAGCGTCAAACAAAGACAACGAAGGAGGTGGCCTGGGCGGGGGGCAAAAGAGAATAGAAGCCCGCGACGGGGTCGGCTGACGATCTGGGAGGCCGTCCCATACCACTCCGAAATCGATTGCATGCCCCCCGTGTCCCCAGGGAAGGGTAGATCCTATACAGCGCGCGGAAAGAGTCGGCGCTGCGCCGATAAGCATCAAGGCGGCGGTGGTATTTCAGCCGCTCGTAACTGAACTCTAGGTATGTTTTGTAACTCCCGTTGTCAAGGGTGTGCCTCTCTGGGCCGCGAGTGCCGTCTACAGGTATGCCAGGTTGCAGGGGCTGCTTCAATGGCGCGGAGATCCAAACCGGAATGACGGAATACTTCTGTCAATGTCGAGCGGCATATTCACAGCGACCATTGACACGCACGCGGGACCCCGTTGGGACGCGGACAGAGGACGGTTCTCGGGGTCGGAGTGGGGGCCGGATAGTGTGGGGACATGTCGGCAGCCATCAGTCGCGAAATACCTGTGCAGTACGGAGTATCCGTACGTGCAAATGAAACAGCATATCGCACTATTAAAGATCATGCAGCTGCCGAAGGGGTATGTCTATTGGAGCCATGTATAATGTTGTACAGTGTTGACGAGGAGGGGCCCAGCTCTGCTGTCACATGAAAGCAATGACTGACTGCAAGGACAAAACAAGGTTGATTGGTGTGTGCAAAGCTGATGGCGGGAGATGTCATGTGGTGTATGGTGACAGGGGGACGCAAAGCATCGTAAAATTTTTTTTTTTTTTTGGCTCAACCTGGCAACTTGTCAAAGCCAGTCAGTGAGTACCTAAATCCCGGCAGACCAACGTTGGTTGGCTGGACGGTGGTGCCGCGAGAAATACCCCAAGAAGCCAAAGACACGGGGAGGAGTCATATCACGGTGAGACGGGTTGGGGGCGGCGGTGACGGAAGGACGGTGAGAAGGGTTCTTTGCCAGAGCCATCCTTAGTTACTCGCAGGACGAAGGACGCTGACCGCAAGAGCCCCCGAACAGAGATCCTTGCCAGGCCGGGCGCGACGGTGTGGCATGTCTGTCTCTCTCTTTCGTATATACCGGTTGCTAATGGCCGCGCGAGCGATAGTGAAGTAACCAACCCCTCGCAGAGGACCGCACATGCAAGTCCCGCCAGTCAGAGTCGACCAGGCGCCGGCCAAAATGAGCGCCTGTCAGATATGATTTCGCCTATGCCTTGCCACCATGTCTACCTACGGAAAGCACGTATTTGCGTGTCGGTGGAATGGCGATGTGCATGGCGCGATTAACTCGGAGAATGCCATCATTGACTTCTCGCCTGCAGCAGCGGCAGCAGCAGCAACACGGACTTTTTGTGATCATGCTCCCCGAGTTCCGACAATAAAAAGTTTCTGGCTGGAGTGGTGCGCATCTCCAACGTGGGTTGAGCTTCACTAGGTAGGTAGCATAAGCAGGGGCTTGTGCGCAGAGAAGCCTGACGAGCCCAAAAAAAAAAGACAAAAACAAGAAAACAGAGTGAACCAGCAGGAAGCCAATGGATGCAGCGACTGATCTATGTACTCGAAAAAGAGAGAAAAAGAAGAAAAATGTATGCGACAACAGCAGGGTTCGAACCTACGCGGCCGAAGCCAACAGATACCTCAGAATAAGCTGATCAATGATCAGGTTAGTTCAAGTCTGTCCCCTTAACCACTCGGGCATGTTGCCATTTATTGTTGAATTATGCCTTGCATCTTGAATTCAAGTATTCTCCACGCGGGATGTGTGGGTCTTTATGTGGAGACACCCCCCAATATGGATCTCTTTGAACGGTACTCCGTAGTGAATTTCAATTGGCCAGATGACTCCTTGGAGTTGTCTCTTCCTGCTTTCAGCATACCTACCACACGAGACAGAAGCACAGAGGCAACATCAGGTTTACACAAGTCTTGAATACAGTCAACACTGACTGATACTTTCCCACGTTCGTTCAACGTGCTCACATACTTCCTGCTGTCGCCATAGTTCCGCTGTTTCCGGCGGCATCCAATGTCTCACCCGGCCTCCCCGGGCATGCACTGGAGTGCTTGGAGACTATAAAGGCATCTTAGAGTGATGGGTGACGAGAGAGTTACGTTTAGACATTTGTGCCAGTTGCGTGGTCTGATTATCGAAACCCTATTCAAGACATGTCATCAGGAAAACCCCCGCACATGACCAAGGCTAAATAAAACGAGGACTGTAGGTAGGTAGGCTGTAGCTCTGTCTGTGCCAATTACGTGCATGCAGTGTGGGATGAGAACACTTCATCTTGCCGCAACATGCTTTTTGTTTGTTTGTCTGTCGGCGAGGTGGTACCCGGCTCGCCGCTGTTGGCGGCGGCGGCTATTCAGGAAAACTCCCGCGGAAGGGGGGGAGAGAGAGAGAGAGAGAGAGAAACTAGTGCTCGCGACCGAAAGGCTGCCCTGCCGTCCTCAGACCTCCACCGCGTTTCGGAAGTTCCTAGATGGGAATACAAGGCAACCCACAGCGTTTCGAGTTGAAGGACCGTCGGATCAAGTTGTTTTTTGCTGACATCCTTCCTTGCTGTGACAAGGGGGGGGGGGGCCTTTCCGTCTTCCCCCCCCTATCCCAACTCATTCTCGATTGGCAGATGACACAACCGGCTCAACGGGATTGGCAAACGGTTTGGAAGCCGTGCAGACAACTGCTTTGCTAACGCGAAACAAAAGTGTCGAGGGTTCGGATCTCGCTCCCTCCCCCTTCCCCCCACCGAGTTGGCATGACATGAGAATTACCAATACACACACCGGCTGCGGTGGTTGAGGTTGATGAGACTCTCGCGTCGTAGGGTTGACGCAGCGGCCAAGGCCCGCGAGAGGGATGATACATAGCTTCTGACACGCTGATGCCGTGTCAGACCGGAGATCCACGGCGAGCTCAATACTAATAACGTGATTGTATTAGCTCCTCAACCTTACTGCGGGATTCCAAAAGGGGGGGGGCCCTCGATGTAGTGGTAAGCGGAGGACGGTGCCGGGCTAGTAGGAACGATTGACAGGGAGGGGCGGAGACAGGCCGGACCTGTTGCCTCACGTCAGAAGAAGCAGAAGGAGAAATAGAAAGGCCCGAAGATGCATTCGTTTCAACAAGATGAGTTTTTTTTTAATTGAATCATTGATTTACCACGAGGAAACTTGTCGTCGCTCATCCGCGCTCTCCAAGGTTTACACGTCGCAAAGGAAAGTCTCGGAAAGCAACGAGGAAACTGCGACAAGTGGTGGGCTGGGGTGGCAGGCAGGCATTTACATGGTAATTGCCGTTCGTTTCTCGACCTGCTTGCTGCGAGGCCCAACCCGGATGACGTTGATAAAAAATAAGAATAATAAAATTGACAAGTCGGTATCTGAGAGACGACGGGCCCAGTCGACTAGTCTACCTAGGTATCTAATGTACCTGTGCGGACCGATTGGATACCGAGCCCACTCGAATTGTGGTTCTGAACGGAAGTTTCGTTTGGTGTTGGAGCTGACACTCAACCCCCGATCAATGTCTATCAATCAATCAATCAATCAATCAATCAATCTTTGGCTGGACGTCGTTCGTCGCACTGTCTGAGTTGAGCTGAGCTGAGCTGGGTTGGGCCGCGTCCGGTTGTGCAAACTCGTAACTTAATATCGCAACATTTGACTTTTCTTTCTTTCTTTATTTCCCCCCCACCGGGAGAGGGTTCTCGGAACTACCTAGGTACTCAAACAAGGTGTTGCTGCATGCAGTCAATTCAATTTTTCTCTGTCGGCAGGCGGGCAGGCACACCAATTCTGTTTTTATCGTTTTGGTGATTAAGTGATGAATAACCAACTGCGGACAGCCTACAGGTACCCTGGGTAGGTAGCTGCCCCTCTCCGGCTCCCACCGTGGGTTATCGGTCCTCTTCATCGCCATCGGGCCTAGTGCAACTACCTACCCAAGCTACCTAGAGCGAGGTGAGGTGTGTATACGTACTGTAGGTACTGTACGTACCGGAACAGATGAGGTGAGTGATTATCAAAAGTACCGAGTGCATGTACATCCTCCCGACCAACCAACCGACCAACTACCTACCTACCTAACCAACCGACATTGAGAGCAACTGGAAAGCTCAGACATCTGGGCGCCCGACCAGCTGCCAACAAACGCCTTTCCTTTCTTTGCCGTCGTGGCCTTTTCTCCTAGTGTACAGTACTCCGTACATACTACTAGAGCATGAAGACGGGTATGGCCATCCGTCCAATCGACAAACAGCCGAGTGCATAGGTATCACATACAGCATGGCGTCAATCAGCCATGTGCACTACCCCGAGCCAATAATCGGGACTTTGGCCACAACCACGACCGGGTGGAGGATGTACACTAGGTACCTACTGTAGGAGAGAGGCCAGTCTGGCGATGCGTGCAACCTCTTCCCATTTTTTCTTTCTTTCTTTCTGTCTCCTTGTGGGTATGGATACCTACCACCTACCTGTATGCGGACTATACCCACAGGACTGTATCTTTTACATTTCCCCACCGGGACAGCACAAATACCTACGTGTACCAAGTTTTTGTGCATTTAAACTCGCTGTCCATGACAACGGGGGAACCCGGCTGGTTGGGCCCAGAAAGAGGAACTAACTAGCGATGCAAACCGCCTGGTTTACGACACGTGCTTATTGCTCCATGCTTGCCTTCGTCCTGCTGCAAGTACCTGTATAGTTAGCTACCTATGTATGTATGCACAGTACCTACCACGTACATAAGGTATCTCAGTCAGGACAGTGGGTACTCTGGCTATGTCGGTACTTTACAATAGGATGGAGTGGCCTACCTGGGACGTGGTCCACGCGGCGGGCCCGGTACGGTACATTGATGGGCATGGCTCTCGGACGCAAGTGCTTGTCATCTTAATATAATCCTGTTATTACTAACCGCGTACCGTACCTATGTACTACCTAGCTGTCTAGGTAGGTATGCATTCGCACCCGGGCATGTAGAGGGAACTCAGTCACTAAACTGGAACAACCCCCGAAATCAAAGGGTTAAAAAAAAACCCCTGGTTCGCAACTCTGGTTGGTCTCTTGTTCCCTTGGGAAACTAAAACCTGTCTGTCTCCCACTCTTACCTTCTTATCAGCCTTTCCCCTATTCCCGATCGCATCGCTTTCCCACACCTACCTACCTATCCGTACCTACCGTACCATCCATACCAATCCAATCGCTTGCCTTCCTTTGCCCCCCTTTCCTTCTCTCTCCCAGTCTCACCCCCCCCCAGTCCCCTTCCCTTTTCCCTCAGAGTTCCTGTTCATTCTCGTCCTTACAGTAGACGCCCCAGGCATCTCTCTCCAAGCAACACGTCAGTCAACCCAACCCAACCCAGTTTATCTGTGGCCTGCCTACCTTAGGTAGCTCAGACCACGACGGAGGACCCAAGCCACGTTTCCCTCCTCACACGGTCCTCATCTCTCTCTCTCTCTCCAAACCCCAACACTTCCTTTTTTCCCTCTTTCTCTCTCTCTCGCTCTCACACACAAACCCGCGGCCCCAACTCCCGCAACCCCGTGATTTATTGATTTCGTCATCCGTAACTGGTGGTTATCATCCATCAACCGTGACAGTTTCCTCCGCTAAAGACGCATTCATCTCGTTTAAGCCGCGCCAAAGCCTGTTTACCACACGCCACTCGAACTGCGCGTCCGTGCTCTGGGACACAAGCCTGAAATAATAATACCTCTTGCTTGGTAAAGAGCAACGCAACGCAACGCAACGCAACGCAACGCAACAGTAGGGAGGGGGGGGTACCATATCGCACCGTACCGCTCGCTCGCTCGCTCTCAACCTCGACACACTCTCACAGACACACCCAACACACCCCCTGCCCACCCTGCCTGGGACTGGACTACCTACAACAAGTCTGACTGGGACCTGGAGACTGGACTCTCTCGCCTCATCTCATCTCATTCGGCTTTCCCCCTTCCTTAACAGCTGCACATAATCATAAGGGACTACCTACTTCGTATGGATAACCAGACAGACAGACCAGTAAAGGCCAAGGAATTCAATACTTTTATCTTATTTTATTTTTTAACCTTGGATCGCCTGGCCTAACCTCATCCTACGCTCTCTCTCTCTCTCTCTCTTTCTCTCTCCCTCTCTCACCTTGCCGGTTTCCATTACACATACACGTCTCTACTGTTCTCCACTCCTACCCAAGTTTAGTCACATACACTAGAAAAATCTTGGCCTCAAACACGCACCGCGTCCGCCATTCTTTTGGGGCCATCAATTCTCGATCCGCCCCCCTTAGCCTCTTCTTGTCTTCTTACAACCACACACACACACACCCACACCCACACCCACAGGCAACGCCTCAACTGCAAAATTTCCCATTCATTTCAATCGTCCGTTTCCATCTACAGAGCCGGTTGAACTACGAGTTTCCATCGCTTATACCCCGTCAACTTGGAGTTTCGCTCGATTCTCACCGTCGGCCATCGACACGGGCCCCCATCCCCTCCCGTCCCCCTTTTAAGCCAACTAAACTCTCCCGGTCGCTTCCCATTCATTCGCCGTGATGGAGAGCACCGAAGAGGTCGAAACCAAGCAGCCGTCGGTTGCACCTTCGGAGCCTCAGCAACAGACCCCCGCCATCGAGACTCCTACTCCCACAGAGTAAGTTGTCCTGCTCTCGTGCCTCTTTTCGCCTTCATCTCT